AAGGGCGTATCTCCGTAAGTAAAACAAAAACCGCAAATTTTTCTTCAAATAATAATTTGTCAATAAGAAAAAAGCTTAACTTGAGAAAATGTTGAACATTTTTGGTTTATTTATCATTTTAGACGGTTTTTTTGCTTTTCCTGAAAAATTTGTTCAATGTGACTTAGGGCTTTTTGGATTTCATATGAAGATATATTAGGACCATTCCTTTTGATAGGTCGCCTCTTTATCCTATGCATATAGTTATTAGAGCTCTACATACAAATATAAACAATTTAAAAGTATACATATTTTTTCCCTAGATATGGGCAGTTAAGGATGCGTGACCTGATGTGACAAAAGTAGACTTTTCATAATATTTTATTTTAATAATTATCATTATTTTAAGATCCATTTAAACTAATTCAACCACATGTTACAAAATTCCCATACCAAAGAACCATCCACAGAACTAGATTTCCTTCATTCCGAGATAAACGCTTAAATTATAGGTACGAACTTTAAGTTTTTAAGAAAGTATAGGTTTGAAAAAATACCATTACCCGGCCAAAAATTTCTGCAGACATAAGAATGTACATTCATACCTAAATGTTCTTTGCTTACGAACATTATGTTATGTGTTTAAAAAAAAACTTTTCCAGAAAGTTTAGTATAGTACAATAAAATTGTGGCAGTGTAGACTATGAGTAGTTTTAAAGGGAAAACGATTTTGTGCTGGTAAATATATAAAAAAGAACTTTCAAAGATCCGTCTCATTGTGTCTGTGTCATGAAAAACAGAAAGAAATATGTGAGATTATGTAGATAGCAGTACTATGTTAATACATATAGATCAGACTTTTAAAGACTTTAATTGTTATATTTTCTTGTATGAAAATCTACATCTGTATAAAATAAACAGTTTAGTAAAGCTTGAAATCTTTAGTATAAAGTAGAAATTGTGAACAGTGAATTTTGATTGCAACTTCAGAAAAAACGTTTGTAATCCGTATTTAAATTAGTCCGGAGCGGTTTCTGAAATACAGAAAGTACGGTTTTCCTTACACCAAAACTCTAAATTAAGACTTTTTTTGAATCAAAGTGATCTTACAATGTACATCAGGGTTGGCAAATAGAATTTTCAAATTGTACAAAACAGCATTAACAATTGTACTTTTTTGATTCCATTTGTACCAAATAAATTTTTTTTGGAAATTTTATATCAATATGAAGTACTTTCAACTTCCCTATGGACTACAGTGTAGAGTATTCTACAAACTAGACAATATACTGTTTTATTGACTAGACAATAGAGACTAGTCTATACGTTAGACATTAGAGTAGAGTATTGACTAGTCTATAGATTAGAATGCTAATATTAGTCCAAAGGCAAATTCTTAGAATAGTCTATAAACCAGATAATAGAATAGTCTGAGACTAGACTCTAAAGACTAGATAATAGGATAGTCGGTAAATAACGCAAAGACTAATTCAGACTCTAGTCCCTAGACTAATTTATAGACCAGAAGATAAAAAATTCATTAGACTAGTCCAAAGTCTAGTAGAAAGTACTTTAAAAGTCTATTCAAAATAGCACATAAAAGACCCATAAAATTATTTAAAATTTTAGCGATCGGATAAGAAAATAATCCTAAATAAATACTCTTTGTTGAATGTTATTACAGCTTGTCTGGTTGTAATCACTTCCCGGTTTCTAAACAATATGACAGAATATAAACAAGAATTGTATTTTTTCTCTTCAGAATTTTCGAATTTATCGAACGACTACCTATCTTTGGACTTTGCTTCAGAAGTACAATTTCAGATTATTATTTCAATAAGGAAATAAATTTAAAATTGTACAAAATGGGTCAATGGTGTACCATTGTACTTTTGGGGATTCAATTGTACCAAAAAAAGTACAATTGTACTAATTTGCCAACCCTGATGTACATACTTATTTTGAGAATTTTCAATTTGCGATACAAATGAGATTGAGTTAAGAATGTAAAATATTGAATTAATCCCAAAATTAACTTGATTTGAGCTCGATTCGTACTTGATTTTAAAACATTTCAATAAAAATTTCAATTACAAAAAAATGGTTAAATTATTAATCTAAAATTTAGATTCTAAATACACAATAGTATTTAAACACACATATTAAATATGGTATTTTATTTGTCAAATACTCAACTACATACTTACTGCTAAAATTTTCTTAACAAAATGAGACTTATGTATATGTTATATATTAAGTAAGAAATGAGATTGATTTAAGTAAGAAATAAGATTAAGAAAAATTTGAGAACCTATAACTCGCTTAAAAATACATTTGCATTTAAAGTTTAAGAATTTTTGCTATCAATTTGTTTAATCAATCGCTATTATGCTGCATGAGAATAAGACTTAAGCAATATAGGTAATAACTTCCGAGGATGAGCTTAAATATGATCGGAGGGACATTTAGTCTAATAATAGGGTACGATTTTTTGAGCTCCCATATACAATTTTAATATTTTTACTGAAAACATTTAAAATTATTGAAAGAATAAAGAATTAACACTTTTTCTGACTGATGTTATCTTCCATGACAGCATTCACGTACTACAGAGCGAAGAGATACAGAAATACATACCTACATATACACAGTAAAGTAAAGCATACACATCCAGCATAATATCTGCATATATTGACCAGAATTATAGCTGACAATGTGACTAACAGTGTGACAACCAGTCGGTTAGCCTGTCAGTCAGTGAGTTAATGTTGCGCTGTTACTGAAAAGAATACTTGTTGCTTGTTGTAGCCGTTTTATGTACGTGTTGTAGAGTTTTTTTCTCGTTTCAATCCGTTTGTGACTCTGGCTCTAAAGTTAAACTTAAAAAATGAAAAGCCAAGCAGGTTTTTTATAAAGCCATAAATTTTAAGTTCACAAAACTTGTGTTCTCACAATACACAATTTCTTCTTTTATTTGTTTTTTTTTCTTACATTTTGTCGCATAGAACATAAAGTGACTTTTTTTAAAAAAAAAGTGTTTCTTCTTTTAAAAATGTTAAGATATCGATTAATTATTTCGAATTTTAAATGATCTTTTGTCAAACAAATATCCGTCGTCGTAACAGCTTTTGTTAGAGAAAATTAAAAAAGAGAAAAATATTATAAAATACAGGCAGTTGTATATAACTTATGGGTATTTGTTTCTGTAAGAAATAATAAAAGTTTCAAAAGCGTAGGTTGTCGTTAAGAACAAGAACGAAACAAAACCAAGAAGTGTTGGTAGACAACTTGGTAGGTTAAGCTATAAAATTTAAATCGTATAATATAAATATTTATAATTGTTTTGTTTTATTATAGGCCCCCTCGAGTAAATAAAAACCTATACAGTTTTATGACCGAATAATCATATACAAAATTGTGAATTTTGTTTTCATGCTACAAGTATATTTATACAGTATATATGTATATATTATGTTATGTTTTTACTTAATTTTTTTCTCAGTGTATCACTGCTGGAGCGCATGCGCACTAATACATGTACACGTAAGTGAAGTTAACTAACGATACATGACAATCCCAGTAAAATGCAAATATACGTGTTTTAGATCAATCATCGACGCTAAATGATCCTCAGGGATATGGTGCGAATGAACCAGGTTTGGTTTAAGCAATAAAAATGTATACCATTTTCTTGCGAGGGTAGTTAGAGAAGTTATTGTTATATTAAAAAAAAGATAATTAAATATAATTATGGTTATTAATATAAGTGGAAATTGACCTTTCCAAGAAATAGTCTAGACAGTTTTCTTTTCCCGAATACTATTCACGTTTTAATAGATTCTCATTCTCATAGCTCAATAACTCTTTCACGTATATGGGACACCGGTGTACTAAGATTTTTTTTTTAAAATTTTTCTCGATGAGTTTCCAGTTATTTCCACAGAAAACTGAGTTTTGTTTTTCAAATTATTTTATTCAAATTAATTATTCCCAAAAACATGATTTTAAATATGGCGAACGAATGATTAAAAAATCACAATCTCCCTTAATTCCGAACGTATTGTATCGATACAAAAATACATATTTTTAAAAGATATCTTAAAAATAAACAACAAGGAGAATTTATTCTTAATTTAAGAAAGGTCTTCATTTTCAAATGCAATTCAGATGTTCATTGCAAGTAGAATGGATAATATTAATTAATTTTGTAAATTCTATCGAATATGTTTAACAGTCATAACATGATCTCATTGATTGTTTCTAAGATATCGTTTTAATATCTAAAACAGAAAAATTTAACGAATATTTTCGTATGTTTTCTCAAAACTTTTCGTAATATCCCTCGGATAATCAATACAGAATAAAAATTTATAAAATATAACACAAGAAAAATGGCAAAGAAATTATAAGCAAATAAAACGAAGAAAAGATATATTTAGTACAAAATAAAGGAGCAGGTAGCAACAGGTTTAGATTAATATTTGAAATTAATGAGATTTATTGGATCGTTTCTTAGTTTTATAACCATTTCTTCACACTAAACGCATATCTTTTGAAGTAAAAGAAACTGAAATTTTCATTAAGGGTATTTGTTGAATTTTGTTGTTTAAACAAAATGAAGTTTATCTCAAAATAAACAATAGTTGCACAAACATTAAATATAAAAATCGGACCAGAGAAAATATGTATGTATCTCTATCTATGTGTGAGAGAGTGAGTCAGAATCACAATGCTGCTCACTTAAATATCACTGATGCTCACATAAAGAAAAATGATTTTAACTGTTAAAATGCATTGCCATAGCTTACTAACTAAACATAAATGCAATTTAACGAGTTTAGGTTTAAGTACTGCTTCAGGTAAGAGAATTTTTAACGAGCGGATAAGAGAGTTTCAAGAATGCATTTTTAAAGAGTAAAAGAGAGTGAGTACAAGTAGAGATATAAGTTACTTTCAAAACTTGAGTTTGTATTTAGTTGTATCGGCGGTTCAACAATATGATTTAAAAATTTTTGTACATTAGTTCAAGTTGAAACGGCGAGAAGATCGGTAGTATACTTTAAATAAACCTCGCATTATAGGGAACGTGTGCTTAAAGAAAAAATAAAATAAATATCTACCACCATTGTATTTTTGTATAGAAAACAAAAGACAAACAAGAATTGCTGCAGACAACTAAAAGCTGCTTTAAATATGTTTGGTAAATTTTTAATTTAGAATAAACAAATACAAAAAAAAAGTAAAAACAATTTGCAAGCGAAACTCGGTGGCAAACACTCTATGCAACCACCATTTCTAGTGGCAGCAGCAACGCCATCATCATTATTGTGAACGTCATCTGACGTGTATAACCAGCAGCAGTTTAAGTAGCATCAGACATACATATTTATTTGCAACAGTAGACAGGAAACGTATTTTAAAGTGCAGCGGTGCATGAAAAAGTGCATTCGTTAAACGTAAAAACAAAAAACAACGTCCAACAAAAAGACAAAACAAAATCAACAAACAGAAACAGTAAATTAAAATTTAATGCTTTAAAACGTGATTTAAACAAAAAAAAAATAATAATTGAAAATTCACTCCAACACACAAATTATCTCATTTCTACTCTATGGCTTAAACAAATTAGTTAAATAATTAATAAATATTTAGAATTAAGGTGAGACTTTTTTTAACTAGAAAATTGGAGTTTGTTAGATATTAAAGTTATAAACAAAAATATTTAACTTTTTTTAAATTAATTTTTTCTATGTGTATATTAATTTTTTCCTCTAAAGTAAAAAAATAAGCCAAGAGCAACCAAAACTCACATACTTAACGAAAAAATACCTTAAAACCAGTTTCGAAAACAAAAGCAATAAAATTAAAATACATATTGGAAACACACAAAAAAAAAAAAGACAGATAAAGAAGACCAAAACTCAGAAAACAAACAAAATAATCATAAAAAAAAGAAAATAATGTTCAAAGTGCGTGAAGTTCAAGGGATGATATACCTATTTTACTTTGTTAAAATGGTTCTAAAATTTTAATCCAAAAAAGTACTTTTTGATTCGTACTTACAATCTACAAGATTTAAAGATTGTTGTTGAGTATTTTAAAAATACATGTGCATATGTAGTATGCCCAGTAAAAAATAAGTTGAATCAAACAATTTATTATAATGTTACGAAATAGAAGTTTTGAAAAAAGTACCTACTTTAGTACTGATTTGTCCATTCCTGTTAAAGTTAGTTGTGGTGGCTTTTGTCATTGTGTTTGTATTTATTCTTAGCCTTTAAGCCATAGTTGCCAGATACATTGAGAGCACTATTCATAGAATTTGGTTGGTTAACTATTTAATAATGATACTTTTTTATGAAAATTCCAAACTCAAAGGTTTCACAAATCTTAACAAATGTAAACCTATTCGGTTTGTTTTAGATATTTTATATAAAACATTGTAAATCCTTTTTGCGGGAGTAAATCTTTGAAAACTAATAATTTTTCAAGTCATTTTCAAACCTCTAAACTATTTGGTAGGAGTTGTAATGAAAAATATCTTTTTGTAAATTTAAGAGAGGTATAGAACCAAAATTTAGGCCTAAATACATTTATGGATCATTTCAAATACTCTAAAATCTACAAATCTGGCAACAGTGTCTTTAAACAGATGAAAACAAAATACACAGAACAAACTCCCTGAAGTCAAGCATAAATTTACTGCCAATACCCAAACAAATACATACAAAATTTTCTAAAATTAACCAAAAAGAGAGTTTTGAAATGTTAAAGAGAAAAGTCAAACATATGTAGCTACATACTCTCTTTTTGAAGATAAGAAATAAGGAATAAATGTATAAATTTTAAATATTTATACGAAATGATGAAATTCAAATAATTTTAAATATAAAAAATAATGCTATTGACTTGTAAATTATTAATAAAACAGTCATATTGCTAAATCCAAGTGTTATTTTTTTTTTTTTTTTTGATAATTGTTTAAAACCACATTTTAGTTAAATAAATATAGTATACATTTATTCTATATTGTATCTATATTGTATTAAATAACAGCTGCTTAGAATTTTGTTATATAATTAAATTAAGCATTTAAATAAAATTTTTAAAAATTACGGGTCTACTTAATTAAAAACTTTGGAAAGTGCAATGTAAAGTTGTACGTAATCCTAACCTCTACAAATTTTATTATAATTAGTCCTTGACCTTAATCTCAAATAAATTATAATTTACTGAATAACTAGATTTAAAAATATATTTTACATTTAAACTGTCATTTTGTAAAATTTCTATAAAATAAAATATTGTGTAGATTTTAGGGTGATCGACTCGATTTTTCAACCGGTTTTAAAACCGGGTTTATCTGCTTTACCAGTGTCGGTTTTTTCTTAATGTTGATTTTTCGAATATCGAATAACCCGATTTTTTCACTTTTTAAAAACCGGTTTCGAATACTTTTATTTGCATTGTATTCAAAGATTATTTAAATGAAATTTTTAAGTAAATAATAATACCTGCCCGTCTAAATTTTAAAAATATTCGAGTCGAGGAACTAGCGTATATTTTTCTACAGCTCCTTTGGTTAAGCTTTTTTGTAAAATGGATAACTGTTTGATAAAATTTTATCAATCTTATGATTATATTCCAATTACAATAATTAATTTACGGCTGAAATTTTATGGAAGTGTTTAGGAAATTTGCATAGGCAAATTTCCTAAACAGGGCTTTTAAAATAAGCCCTTATGTTTAACAGAAGTGCCACACTTTTTTCCTAATTATGTATATTAAAGAAATAATGTAAATCAGACGACTAGATCTAAAGTTATAATCTTTTAAACTGTTAAAAATCATTTCGGGCCATGTTTTATTAATCAAATTTAAACATAAACATTAGGTTTTTCAAATTAAAATATATTTTTTTTATTTATAATGAAAAACCGGTTAACCGATTTTTTCTGAATTTGAAAAATATCAACCGGTTTTTTTTAAATGTCAACTATTCGAACTATTCGAAAACCGGGTTTTGAAAAATGTCGAATAATCGATCACCCTACTAGATTTCGGTGTGTATGTAGGTTTTTTATTTAATATTTAAAAATATAATTGAAATATCCAACAAGGCCAACAAATCACTTGTAAAAGTTGTATACAGTTTTGGATTTTGATTTAACCCAACAAAAACTTTTACAATATATATATATAGAAATTCAAATATTGTTAAAATCAACATCATAATCAGCTGATTAGCTCGAACAAAGTCATCGTTTTGAGGATTTCAATTAATGTAGAATTCAACGTTTGAACTTAATGTTAAGAAAGAGTTTATTTTTTTATCCGAATCTAAGATAGAGAGTAATGAAAAAAGTCCTTCGATATTCAAATAACTTTCAAAATTAAAATTCACACAATTTTCCTTTGTTTAAATACAGCTGGGAAATAAGTAGAAATACTTTCAACATTTTTAAGGGGAAGTACTCAATTTATTGCTGGGAAATGTAATTGTTATTGATTTTCTTGAGAAGCATTCATGTTTATTTTAAAAATAATAATAAAAAAACAGCGATAAGAATAACATAGTATTGCATTACAAATTAAAAAAAAAAAAACTGAGATTTAAATACAAGCAGGGACCTACTTTTCAAACAACATACCAGTGACGACAAAACCTCACACTAATAAAAAAAAAAAACAATGAAAGCTTAAAAAAATTATGACTAATGAAAGAAAAAAAACTGACATATGTATTTGAAGATTAAAAGAACAGTATGTAAATAAATAATTGTAACAGATCTTTTTCTGAGATATCAAATTTTTAAACAACAAATATAAATATTTTTTCTTTTTCTACTTGCAGCTTAAAAACACAACAATTTCTACAACTTCTGAGAAGTTTTTACTAACAGAGACTAAACTAAAAGAAGGATAGGATACATACATCTACTGTTTGATCTTCTTTAAATTATTTGTGATTTGTAATCTCAAACACATACCACCAAGATGGCAGTGTTTGGTATGGTTTCGGCCGTATCCGGCTTTATAAAAATACGATATTTATTGGATAAAGCGGTAATAGATAATATGGTATTTCGTTGCCATTATAGAATAACAACAGCTATATTATTTGTTTGCTGCATTATAGTAACAGCCAACAATTTAATTGGTAAGTACATTTGGACAAACAAAACTAATGCATATAAAATAATAGAAAAAACCAATTGATAATGTAATGTTAATTAATTCATTAAATAACACGAGTTCTTAAACAAATGTTAACAACACAAAAGTACAAAACACTACAACAATGTTTACTCCACCTATAGTATGGTATATGGTTACACACAGCTGTAAATAGCTTTCACCATAAATAAATTTTAGCTATTGTTAACATATTAACACTTAACCAAGTTTTTTTTTTTACATATTCTCCAGTTCAAATTGTGACCATATAATAGAAATGGTTAAACATTTTTGTTTAACACGTATAAAAATGCATTGTTATGCATTTAGCATTAGAAAAAAATTTGAATCTATATGTAAATTATTTAAATTGTATTGAATCGGTTTATTTGGCCATTTCACAAAATGTTTACAACATTTTCACAAGTACATATTTAGTTTTGAACTGTTGAACTATTTTTAACTAAAAAAATCAATATTTAAATAATTTTATGATTATAATTATTTATAAATAGAAATTTTCAACATGTAGCTGTTTAAATTTATTTTAAATAAAAAGTGCTAAATAAACGGTTTCATTCAATTTTATTGATACAGTTTTCAAAAGACATTTATTACTATGTATTTAAATTTTGTTAGTTTAGTGTGCAAATGTGCTAAGTTGGTTTTTTATAATTTTTATTTTATTTTTAAAGACAACAATCGTTCTAAAATTTGTAGTTTTTAAAAATGTCTTTAATATAAAAAATAAACAAAATTAGTTAGAATCTATTATTTCCCCTTTTGGGCTTAGATTTTGACATATGATATGACGAAATTTTTCCAATATTTTCTTACAATATTTGTTTCAAATTCAAGAAATTTATTTTACAGTTAATTATTACCTATAATAAAGATAATAAGTTACCAATTTTAAATGAACTTAAATTTTTTGATTAAAAATGGACTTAGCACATTTTTATAACAAATCCAATAGATTTTTATCTGAATGTTACATGTTTACCAGTAACAAATTTTCTATCGGTCAAGAACTACCGGGGTCAAAGTTAGACATTTTGGTCATACAGGGTTATATTCAAATGTGTGAACCTTTTCACAAAAAAAAAAATGGACTTAGCACATTTACACATAAAGTTATTATTGTAATCTATACTTTACATTAAGAAATATGGGTCAGATATTGATTGCTTTTAATTTGATCTACGATTTTGATTATTAAATGAAACGTGGATTAGTTTGTTAAAAGAATCTATAAAATTTAAATGTGCAAAATTTAGATTCTAAACCCAAACAAAATACTTTCCAATATTTCAAAATACTTTGTCACGCTTTATTTGTTTGCATATTGTGACAGTTACATTTCAAATTGTAGCGCAACAAGAAACAAATAAATTTGTAACAATCATCACTTCATATTTAACCTCAATACATCGTCAGATTGTAATTTGAATCTACCTGTAGTAATGTGTATTAAAACATTCACACTACTCGATCCGATTCCAACATAAAAACAAAAACAAAAAAACTAAAGTCAATGTCTTTTTTATTGTTTCTCTTTCGGTAAACCAAACAATTCATTTTGATGTCTGTGCTGGTTTGTGCTTAACAATCTTGGCCAGATACATTTTCTAAAAACCACAAAGCTCCCAACATTTATACAACACCAACTAAATAATGTTTAAATGAATAATAATGAAATTCCCAGTATTCTATGAAATTTCCACGAAATTTTTTATGAATCAGCGTTACAAACTGTTAAGATTTCGTTTTGGTTGGTTTTTTTTTAAGGAAAACATTAAATTTTGTAGTTTTACTAGACAGATAAATGGGATTTTAGTTTTGTTTATAGTTTTTTTTTTCGTAGGGGAAAGTGTTATTGTTTCTTTTGGTAAATATTTTGGAAAAAAATACTGGGCATAATGCCAAAAAAATAATAAAAATCTTTTATTAATCATCATTTTATGTTTGGTATATGAAATGATTTTGATATTGAAATAGTAATGAGTTGTAGTATTTTTTTATATTTTAAAAATTTCATTCAAGAATAAACCAACCAGATATACATTCATTCAATTATAGTGTTAAACAATGTGCTATTATGCCATGTTCACACGGCTAGTAGAATTACTTTATTCGCACTCTGATATTATTGCGAATTAATTTGCTTTCACGACATGTTCGTAATTCTTTTTGATAGTTTATCGTTATGTTGTTTTTTCATTCATTGTTTTGTTGTTTTTAAATTCCTAGTTCGTAAGATAATTTAAACTGAATTTCGTACAGCTGGTATAATTCGTATTTGAAATTTTATATGGTAAATCATGTAATTCAATTCGTAATTGGGGAAATAAAATCGTGAATGAGGAATCATTGCATCGCAAGTAAAGGGTATTTATTTGTTTCCATTTCAAAATGTTTGCGATCATCAAACTGTTGTAACAACTTCTGTAAACTTTTGAAATTAAGGATTTATATTTTAAAACCTAATGTCCTCCTTTCAAAATGCTATTTATATTTTCTACGTAATGATGTTTCAAATGAAAAACATAAAGTTTAAATTTTCAAAGTGTAGCAGCTAAGTTTATGACGCATGTCTCTAAAGACTCCATAATAAAACAATACACTATTTTAAACAACACATTTACAAATTGTAACTGATTGAATATTTTTTAAAAAACCAGTTTTGAATTACCCATATACTTATGGAGGAGGCAAGTAGCTATAACAAAATTTCTAAAAAATACATATAAACTTGTATCAAGAATGCATTAAAAGTCGACACTCCCAAATAAATGTTTAAAATTCTGATTGCTTATCAATAATGCATCAGTTGTTTTATTGTTTGTTTATTTAGTGTTTTTCTTCTTTTTTTTTTTAATTTGTCCAAGTTATTATTACAATGCAGACAAGGTTTTCCTCAACGATCGAACGACCAACTTATTTCTTTGTTAACTACTTTGGTTTGGTAAATGAATAATAAAAAGAAAAATGTTAACTGGAATATAAAGCCTATTAAAAGTATGGATAATGAAACCCTCTTAAACAGAGAGAGAGAAAAAAGAAGATTTGTAAATAAAATACAAAAATTCAAGAGTAAAGAAAGACACAACAAGTGTACTTTAACAAACAATAAAAAGTTTTATTTTTTAATAGTCAATCTCATACAAAAATAAAGTAACAAATAAATGGAAAAACTTTACTACAGAGTTTTTGTTTTGCTATGCCACTCCAAAAATATACATATATTGCAAATAAACAAGTACAAGTAGAAGTACTTTCAAACATAAAATGCTTCATTACAAAATATTGAGGTACTTGCAAAAAGTATCGCACAAATACAATGTACAGTGATGCATCTTTCTATTGTGAGGCAGAACACACCCACATTTGTAACATACTTTGTATGATGAGTAAAATGAACAAAAAAAAATTATATCAAACAAAAAATTTTCATTATTATTCCTTTTCTTTTATTTTGCTCAATATTATTTTTTTTAGACATTACAATACTTGTGGTATCTATTTAGAAAAAGTGCAGTCATGGTTAAATATGAAGTTAATACATGCAAGTCTTATGTTACTACTGGCTTTGAATGACGTTGATTTAGTACATTTAAACAAGGTTTCTCTTTGTGTTAACAGAAATACATATATGGTTACACTAGATGATATACACACTTAAAATTTCGATGCACTACAGCAAAGCAGAATTTCATAAAATTAAATTTTTTAAAGGAAATTTTTAAATTTATCTAAAATGGTTGTCAATTTAGAAAATATTTTGAAATTTTCTCAGCAAAGCCGACTTATAATAAAGATTAATTTTTTAAAGAAAATTTAAAAATTTATGAAAAATGGTTCTAAATTTATAAAATATTTTGAAATTTTCTTTTTTTCTTAAAAAGTTTATCATTTTAAAAAATAATAAAATTTTTACATTTTTAGAAAATTTTTTCTTATTTTCAGAGAATTTTCTAAATTTTTAAAATGTTTTTCATATTTTTTTCACTTTTAGTAATTTTTTTTTAATTTTTTGATATTTTTATATTTTTATAAAAAAATGGTTATCCATTTATAAAGCACATATTTTGATATTTTCTTAAAATTTTAGAAAATTTAATGATTTTAGAAAATTATCAAATGTTTTGAAAATTTTCTCATTTTTAGAAAATTTTGGATATTTTCTCATTTTGAGAGAATTTTGGAAATTTTCTCATTTTGAGAGAATTTTGGAAATTTTCATTATCAAAAAATATTTTATTTTTTGGCAGATTTTTTGATATTTTTAAAATTTTAGCATTTTTTTATATTTTCTAATTTTTAGAAAATTTTGGAAATTTTCTAACTTTTCGAAATTATTGATATTTTTAGATATTTTCTCATTTTTAGTAAATTTTCAGATTTTTCATTTATAACAAATTTTCACATTTTTTGTGAAATTTTCTCATTTTTAGAAAATTTTTAAAGTTTTCTCTTTTTCAGAAAATGTTTAAAGTTTTCTAACTTTCATAAAATTTTCGAAATTTTCTAAATTTTACAAAATTTTTATAGTTTTTTCATTTATAGAAAATTTTTTTTTTGTGAAATTTTATCATTTTTAGAAAATATTTTAGATAATTTGCAAAATTTTTCCGTTTTTAAAATGTTCACATTTGGTTTTTATAAAAATTTAAAAAAAGAAATTTAACAAAAATTTTATTTAGAAAAAAATTTAGTCCAGTGTAAACACTACCCAACTTTAAATGTATGTTAATGAACTTTTATACTTTTCATACATTGTCTTAGATAAAATAAACAATTATATATGGAAGATGAGCAAATGAATATGAAAAAATTAATTTAGAAAATGTAATGTAAACTGTAAAACATGGAAATTTTAATTTTTGCATTGTTTTATTAAAGGTGATCCCATTTCGTGCATTAATGATGGTTCAATACCCATGCATGTCATCAATACATTCTGCTGGATTACATACACTTTCACTATACCGGGACAACAGCACAGGCAGATTGGCACCGATGTTGCCAGTCATGGTTTGGGCAATGAGTTTGGCCAGGAGAAAAGATATCACAGCTATTATCAGTGGGTGCCTTTTGTGCTATTTTTCCAGGTGAGTTTACAGAAATAAAGGAATAATAATAAAAAAAAAACATATTTAATTCGCTTCGCTTTCTTTCCAGGGTCTCATGTTTTATATACCTCATTGGATTTGGAAAAATCTTGAGGATGGCAAAATGCGCATGATTACCGATGGCTTACGTGGCATGGTCACCATACCCGAAGATTATCGCAAAGATCGTCAACACCGCATTATTAAATATTTGATTGATAGTTTAAATTCTCATGCCGGTTATTCGTTTGCCTATTTCTTGTGTGAAGCTTTGAATTTTGTCAATGTTATTATCAATATTTTCTTGGTGGATAAATTCTTGGGTGGTGCTTTCATGACCTACGGTACTGATGTCATTAAATTCTCAAATATGGATCAGGAGAAACGTTTCGATCCAATGATTGAGATATTCCCTAGATTGACGAAATGCACCTTCCATAAGTTTGGCCCCGGTGGTTCACCACAGAGACACGACACTTTGTGTGTGTTGGCTTTGAATATTTTGAATGAGAAAATCTATATATTCTTGTGGTGAGTTCTTAAGTACGATTGAAAAAAAAAATAAGAGGTGGGCGAATGAGAAATTTGTTTTCAAAGTTCTTAAGAAAATCACTCAGATATGGAGTGTCATTTAAATATTTCGAACTAGTAATAGTTTACAATTCTAAATGGAATTAAAAATATTTTTCTAGTAAATTTATACTGCCTTATTAATAAACATTTATCAAAGGTTTATAGAACAAATTTTATATGAAAATTTGAATTATAAACCATTCATAAAAGTTTATGAATAAAGCAGATAGTCTTTTTGATTTAAGTATTTCTTAGGGCCGGTTTTATTATTCACACTAGGGTAAAAATTAATACAATTAAATACATATATTAGAACTACCAAATTTGAAATATATTTGATTAAAACAGACTTAGCACTTTTACATTCCAATTCAACGTTTTGAACAATTTTGTGATGGGTTGGAAGGACCAATTACTTTTAATAGCTTAAAATTAAATATTAATCTTTTTACAATAACTAGTTATTAATGTGATTTTACTAATTTCCTTTTTTCTTTCCTCTAGGTTCTGGTTTATCATTTTATCTATAATTTCTGGTGTTGCTTTGATTTACTCCTTTATGGTGGTTACTATGCCCACAACACGTGAAACAATACTTAAGCGTTCTTATCGTTCCGGCAGAAACAAGGAAATTGCCAGTTTGGTCAGACGTTTGGATGTAAGATTTTACATAACATTTTGCCTTTGGAAACTGATTTTTAATCCATCGCTAACTTTTCTTCATTACAGATTGGTGACTTTTTACTTTTACATTTTCTGGGACAAAATGTCAATACAAAATCCTACAATGAAATGATACAAGAATTATGCAATCTCTTGGGTAGCTCAAGGACACCTTCGGCACCATCAACACTGGAAATGAATCCCATGAATCCTATATATCCACAAGTAGTAGATACATTTGGTAAAGAGGCATTTGGCAAAGAAACCGAAACATAAATATATGTTGAATAATTTCTACCCACACAAGCATACACAACAACAAATTATTCTAAAGCAAAAAAAAAAAAACAAAAAATACAATGCAATCTTTGAAGAAAAGACATCAGAGAGTTGAAGAACGATAGAAGCAACAAATGATTTCTCATTTATTTTAAACATAATTTTACAAAAGGAAAAATTTATTAATTTTTTTAATTATATGTACTATTTTCAATAATGTGTTTTGTCCCCGTATGTTTTATATGGAAAGTGCAAGTAAAAAAAGCCCCTAAATATATATTTTGTGTCAAAATTGTTTTTAAAAAATTATATCTTTAATATATGTATGTATTTCAATGTTAAAATTTTATTATAATCCGTGCAATTTTGTTTGTATAAAACCCTTTAATGAGTGACAAAACAATATATTTTAATAATAACTAAATTAATAATACAACTTGACCACCATCAACAATATTTAAAATAGATTTTTTATAATTATTACAAAACCGCCATCACTATGATTAAGTTCTTCTATATTTTTTTTAAATCAAGTAATGTTTGCAAATTACTTGTAATATATATAATTTTTTTTTTTTTTTTTAATTTTCAATTTACTATAAATTTTAAGCAAAAAGTATATTATTATATACATATAAATATATATACAAAATTATTAAATTATAAATTTATATAAACAAAACTAAAAAAAAAGACGACAAATTTTCCATGTTCTAAATGTTAGTTAAGTAATAATTTTCTTTTTTTTATAAAATTTTAGAAATTTGTTTATAAACAAAAAGTATTGTGATTATAAAAGAAAACAAGCTACATTTTTATGCTCTTTAAATAAATATTTTACTATAATAAAATTAAAAACAATGAAATTATTTTCTGTACTTACCTATTGCCCCAGTCGATTTTTGAAACGACTGTCATTTGTAGTTCTAAAGTTTGATCTTGTGTTAAAGTTGCTCCCAATAATTCACGCCTACTTTCTAAAATCGATAGCATTACTTTACGTAATGTGTGGAATTTGTAAGTTTCTCGATCCTAAAAGAATTATTTTAAAATATTAAATGTTTGTAGGTTTAGAAAATCGAGAGAAATTGGTAATTTATACAAACCACAAATAATTTTTTCCATATTTCCGACCATTCCCTTAAGACTTGTGTACATTCGGCTACCACTGGGTCTATTTTTGATAAGTCTTTTATGTGTATATATGTTTTGGGAAATAATCCCACAGCTCGTGATTTTCGTGGACAGGTGCCGCGAAACCATTTTGGACATTCTTCTAAGATTTCCACCGAATCTCCAACATCTAATGGAAGACCAAAACGAACATCACCATGCCAATTGTGTATAGCTAAAAAATAAGAAGATTAAAATGATAATTTGGATTAAAAAGCATTTTTTAAATGCACAAACCAAAATATGTATAGTTTGTGAAATATAGCCTGAACTACTGTTTATTTGAAGGATCTACATAATTTTATTATAATTTACTTTTTAAGTCTTAATTTTAAAAAAATTTCAATGAAAACCACAATTAATTCCGAATATGTATTTGAATATTGTTCTAGATTAGGTTAGGTATGTTGGTCGCTAGTTAGCGAGTTCACTCGGAGGCCTTGTGGCCCATTGTGATACTCTTAGAATTGCCATTCCGTTATGTTGAGAGAATGGTCTCCGTAAAAACCAGCCGGTGTTTCTAATAAAACCGATCATGTTTACTAGTGACGCATCTCTGAGACAGTCCAGATCATGGAAAAGAGATCTACCAAGATAGAGTAGTCGAGTTAGTGTTGTACCGATTCTACTTTTTCTTCGTCCAAACAGCTTCTGCAGTAGCTATTATATAGGTAGCCCATATGTTCCGACATATGTCCAATACAGTGCCCAGTTATTATACCATTTAGAAGCCTAATCGAGTTCTTACTAAGAGAGAAGAGAGTCTTAGTCCAAAGCCCAGTCAACTATCAATTTTGATAGGGTCACCAGGGCAAGTGATATTTCATTTCCCCGGATGCCCTCATGTCCTAGAACCCATATCAACTTAACGTGTTGTGTCAGTTGTGCCAATAATTGAATACAATTGAGAACCCATTTCGACTCAATAACATTGGATTTAAGAGCCTTGATTGATGCAAGGCTGTCCAAGTATATATGTATAGTCGAATTTTCGGGATTTAGTTCCCAAATTCTTCTCGCGGCTGTATCGATGGCATATATTTTTGCAGGTGTCAGATAGTCGAAGAGACAGTAGAAGATTCAGTTTTTCGCAGAAGATTTCCGATCCCGTGTCCCTTTCTGTCTTTGAGCCATCAGTATAGATTGAGATCACACCGTCCCTTACGACAGTGTTCGCAACCCAATCATCCCTTGTCGGTATTCTGGACTTAAATGACCTATAGAATGTCGTTCTAATTTCAGTTCAATATTTGCTGTTTAGGTGTAGTTGATCCACATACAATTCTTTATGCATAATAAAATTTTATATCCTAAATTTTATATCTAAAGAGACTATATAGAAAACAGAATAAGTTTTAACTTTCCTAGTCGCTATATTGGACCCTCCGTCTTGATCTTTTAAATTCACGTAGGACATTCGTCTAAGACTTCGGGCTTTTCGGTATGATGATTTTATAAATTCTAGGACAGTCCGCCAAAATAAGGTTTAAGACCCCTTCGCCGAAAACCGTTCATCCTGGAATATTTTTTAAATGAATCCAAAATGCAGCATACGCCAAATGGAGCAATTCTAATCGAAACCGTTGTACCTCCTAAACAAATATTCGAATATATTTCTATTTTAAAAGTATCACGATATAGATGAACATTATGACACGAAGCTCTTAACGCTTCTTACATTTTTTTCGTGCTGGGATGTAACAGACCTCGAATTTAAATACCTTTTCAGATCTTCGAAATTATTATTCAGTCTATTGTATTGACCCTTTATTACCTTTAAAACACCCTTACAGTTTAACACCGTTAAAACTAAAATACTATTCCTCTAAGAATGGTATTAACGAATTAATTATATTTTTAACGTTTTAAAATGGTTGACAACCTTGTCTTAAACTCGTATAACATTTTCATATTTTTAATTTTGTTTGTATTTATACACGACATAATTGTTTACTAACATGAAAATATAATTATATTCCTAACAATTGATCCGGATTGATTTTTTGAAATCCGGGATTCGGGATTTTTAAATTAATCCTGATATCGGGATACCGAACTTAAACTTCGAGATTTTAAAATTACGAAATTCCCCGGGATTTATGTCCCGGTTTTAGGTATTTTATAATTCCGGGATTTCCCGTTTGGCATTCCTACTAACAAGTACATCTCATATTATGACCAGACATACATAGATACATATTTCTAGATATAATTAAAAAAACCTATTCTTCCATAAAAAAATATGACGCCACGGAATTTGATGTATTATTATAAAAGTTTTCATAAACATTTTTTTTTCGAAGACTAATTAATTTCCCAACGCAATCAATGCCAAGATCAAGGGAAATACTTAAAAAAACCAACTAAAAGTAAAAATTAACATCTTTATTGTATTTTATGTTTTTTTCTTTAATTTTCAGCAACAATAAATATTTAATCTATTAATAGTACTTGAAGACTACTTCAATTGTAACTTCAACTTGATAAAGTACGAGAAAAAAATAGAGGAAGAGGAAAAATACTTTAGAGTAAAGTACAATTGAAGTGTGGCAATCAATATACTGTGAAGGGGTTTGAGAGATTATCAATAAGAGAGTTAGTAAGAAGTTATTGTTTGATTTTTATATTGGAAAATTTAAAACAAAAGGAAACGCCACATGCCTTTTATATTGGTATCCAACAAAAAGTCCATTTGACGTTAAGGAAGAAGGATAAAATATATGTTGTGAAAAGTATGTATTATTTAATAAGTCCATTGTTTTGTGGGGTTGTGTGTGGAAATGAATTTTATGGAAAATAATAAAGTCATGAAACACAATGCAACAGTTGCAGCGTAGCTAGCTATGGAAGTTCTTTAGGAGTTATTTGGAAACAAAGATCTCCTAGTTAGATCCTCTGGTTGAAAGTTATATTAATCTGATATGCGAAAAAAACAAAGATTAATCTTAATTTGAAATAGTTTTTTCAATATTTTTTTTTAATTTTAACTGATCACTTGTCACTTTTGTATGGATTATTAGGAGGTCTAAGTTATATTATCTGGTAGCGATTTTCGAAAATGACTAACTAATAGATGATTATGTGTCTCTTCCCATTATTTAGAACACATTCGTAGAAACGCTTTAATGGATAGGACCATTAGTGTGATCCTCAGATAGTTCTTTCTATGGTCTTATCGCTTTAAGAAGACAATCGATTTTACGCAATAAGAAAGTTTACCACATTCTCAGCCTTAAGGTGAAAATCTTTTTAAATAATTTTCAAAAATTACAGTATTATTTGGTGCGCTGATTCCGAAAATGACAATAAAAAATCCTATCAACCACCAATTTTTCAAATTTTAGTCCGAATTATTCAATTGTATAATTTTACAGACGTTCAGAATATTGACCGTCTCTGCCTTCAGACTTAAACTCTAAGAGCGGGTTTTTGAGATGGTAATCAAATGCCAATTAATAATCAGATTAGTTAATCTAAAAATAAATTTAATCTTATGTTAATCCCCTTTGACGTTTTTGAGTACAAGATTAAACTTCGAAGTGTTGCCATACAAAACAACAGAAAATGTAACTGTTTGTTATCAAAACAATGCATATTTTATAAAAAAGAAGAAGACAAATGTAAATTTAATATGAAAATTAATGAAAACTTAAATTAAAAACAAAAAAATGTATTTTGAAGTGTCGATAATTTATACTAATCAATAAATAGAACATTTTAATGTTTATATTTATAAACATTTTATTAATTTTTTTGCATCAGCTGTTTACACTTTTGCATTTCGTGCTTAAGATTAAACCACCTCCACTGGGCGCTTAAACTTGCAAACAAAATTAACTAATTGAGTACTCAAAAACATCTTTCGAGGTTTAATTTTAATTTAATCGCTAATCTTTCACCTAAAGATTGGCTTTAAGAGCGGGTTTTTGAGATGGTAATCAAATGCCAATTAATAATCAGATGAGTTAATCTAAAAATAAATTTAATCTTATGTTAATCCCCTTTGATGTTTTTGAGTACAAGATTAAACTTCGAAGTGTTGCCATACAAAACAACAGAAAACTTCACTGTTTGTTATCAAAACAATGCATATTTTTAAACAAAAGAAGAAGACAATTATGAATTTAATATGAAAATTAATGAAAACTTAAATTAAAAACCAAAAAATGTATTTTGAAGTGTAAATAATTTATACTAATCAATAAATAGAACATTGAATGTTTATATTTATAAAAATTGTATTAATTTTTTTGCATCCATTGGGCGCTTAAAATTGCAAACAAAATTAACTAATTGAGTACTTAAAAACAACTTTTGAGGATTAATTTTAATTAAGTCGCTAATCTTTCACCTAAAGATTGGCCCTAAGTTTTCAGGGAAACATTCAGGTAACATTTATAACGTTAACTGGCCCTGATTGAAGGAAAACCGTATATGCCATACTTTTAAAAACGCTCTGGATTGTTATAAATTCGAATTACTCAATTATTACAGTAGTTTCGGATTAGTTCGAATAATGTGATTTGTTTAAAAAATGGCATCATACATAAAAATATTACACTTTCGAAACAATCTACGTACATAGTATATGTGTAGGCATTTAGCAGCACATGGGTTGCAGCAATATAAGAAGCAGCAGCAGTAATGCTACGACGGCATGCAATTTAATTCAAGTGTAGTGAAGCAGATAAACGTTTTCAAAGCAGTAAAATACTAAAATACAGCTTAACAATGCCACAGAATGAATACAGAGCGAGATACTACTGACTGATTGTAAATCTTTATCATAGATGAGAAGAAAACAACATTTTAGCAAGAGATGAACCAAAAGCGGGCTAGAGGGGGCTAGAAGAATGAAATAAGAGTAAAACAATGTCATAATGAATAATACAACATGTGCAAAATGCACTTGTGCTCATATAAAGTGATAAAAATATAAAAAGAAAAATATTATATCTGCAAAAAAAATCAACAATATAATGAAAAATAAATAGAAGAATGAGTATCTAAAGTAAAGAATGAAAAAATAAGAATAAGTTTCCTGTTTTGGAACTTTACTTGCATTTAAGTAATAAATGTTTGTAGATGAAAAGAAACAGAAAGAATAAAAAATATTATAAAACTAACAAGAATCAGAATGCCGTACCATTCCAAGTTAATACAAACAGTATTGAG